TTCCTTCTCCCCCACATTCGTGGGACAGGCAGGGCAGAGGCAACAGTCTGAAGTGAGGTTGTGTTGTGGAGCAGGGTTCCTGGGTGTGGAAATGTAAAGTGAGCTCATCCCCCGGCAAGGGTTGTGTGAATTCACCCACTGAAGGGATGGTGTGGTGACAGAAGCTGGGAACAGTAGTAACTTATTGTGTACGGGGACTCTGCATTTCACTTTGCACTCGTGAACTGTTGATGATTTCCTCCTAGAAACAGCGATGGGCAAGAATGTGGGTGCTCAGCAGAATAAGGATTCTGAGTATGTTCGTGCTGTCTACAGGTAAATGGACATTTTCCTTGGCTACTTTGTAGTTGGGCTGGAGTTGATGCTGCTGGTGTCAGGAGTTCATCTTCTGTGGGCTAGGAGGGAGGGCCAGGGCATCACAGATGGAGCTATAAAGCCAAGAAGGCAGGAAAAACTCCTGCAGATTTTGATGCATTTTCTGGTATGAGTATAAGCAATGGGAGGCTGAGGCTTTGAAGTGGTGTCAGCTGCCATTCAGTTAATCCATTGGTAAAGGAGGTTAAAAAAAAAAGGAGCTGCAACATTTCATACCAGCATGACTGGCAGAATTGGGAGGGTGCTGTTTCAGAGAGCATGTTAAAGCTGAGGCGCTGCTGCTGTGCAGTTCACAGCAGTATTTACACCATTCAAACTGTATGTGACTGTCCAGTGGATTAGGAAAAACATGGTCTGTATTCCTGTCACGCTGGTGTGTCAGCCTAGATGAGATGTAGCTGCTTGTGGTATCTTGCCCCTAGCCTTTGATGGGGCTTGTAGAGTCAGGTGTGGTACAAAAAAGGGTGGAATTAGAGGGTTTGATTGTCATCAGTTCCTTGGCCTTTCCCAAATTGTACCACAAGTGGGCCTGAAGTTGGCCTAAATGTAATAATTACTCCTCAAAGTCTCTTTCTGCAGCCAAAAGAATCTGCAAGAGCTTAATAGCAATGACAATCAGCCCTTCCAAACGTACTCCAGTTACATTTGAGCATACTTAAAGTCTCATATTTTTTATTTTAAATACTTTTCATGTGCTGTCTGGCATATACGGTATCTGGACAGTCAGGTAGGAACATAATGCTTACAGATGGCTGTTTGAGGTCATGGGGCAGATATTTTGGAACCTTGGCGTAAGTAGTCTTTTCAGGATGTACATGCCTTTTCAGATTGGTCAGTGCTTTACTGATGTTGAGTAGGACTGGACAGGATGACTTAATATGTCCGTTTCAAGAAGGTTCCCACTAAATGAGAGTATGCTCTCATTCTCAGAGATTAATACTTAAAAATATAAATCATGGTGATGCTGGGACAGGTGACAGAAATTTTGAGATGGTTTAAAATCAGGAAACCAATACGAACAGCCTTCCCTTCAGATGAATGGGTTTAAACCTACACAATAGGTTAAGTTCTGCTTCAGTGGGGGATGTAGAATTTCTTCTCTTTTTTTTTTTTTTTTTTCTTCTTGAAAGTGTGCTGTTAAGTTTGTTTTTTTGTCAAGAAATGTTACATGATGTAATTGTTGTGCCCCTAGGATGAGCGACCTAATCCAACAGCGACAGAAGAGCCCTTGGCTTTGGCCTGATCTTGTATATATGCTGTTCAAGGAAGGAAGAGAGCATGAGAGGAACCTCAAGATACTTCACAATTTTACAGATACAGTATAGATTCTTTTTTTTTTTTTTTTTAAAAAAATGCTTTAATGGTACATTTTAGTTGTTGGAACAAAGTCTAGCGCTCAGTAGAGAGCTTCCAAATGGGGTGAGGTTCAGCCCCCTTGACATGTGTCTATTAACAGGAGAATTATCTCTCTGTTGGGATGCCAAGGAATTCCTGAAAAGAAGACAACAGATGACTTCCCTGTCAGGAACTCTGTCGTATTTAAGCAAGGGAGTATACTACTCCAAGGGAGTAACAGGACAACCAAAACAAACAGGAATGAATTGAACTCTTGTTCTGCCCCAGGTGCTCTGCATCTGAATCACCTGCAACAGCTCACTGACAAGTTTGTCGCAGTAGGCGTAGGCCTGTGCTTGGTAATGTCACTTGATCCAGCCCTCAGAAACAGAAGCCTGTATTCATTTTCCCCTATTTGAAGCAGAACTGCTGAGATGAGCAGACATATGCAGGTCCCCCCCATCAGCAGTAAGACACTTTGACACAGAAACCATTAAGCATACATCACTGACTTGGCATAAAACGCAGTGTTCTTTCACTGTGTTAGACTGTGCACCCCTTTCTCTCACCAAATAGTTCCTGTGCTATTCTTGCCAATGGTTGTGCTCCCAAATCTACTGTTAGGATCTTACCAGAGAGGCTGCTTTCCCTGAAATAGATGTATGTGCCCCGCCATGTCATTGTATCAATGCCCACAACAAAGGGAACTCTGAACTTTCACTACTTATAATGAGCCACATTGACTCTGTGTTGTTTTTAAGTAGTTCATGTTTTGCTTCCTTTTACTGGGAATTGCAGCAGTGAGGCATGAAAGCGTCTCTTAAAGGGACCTACGCTAATGCTCGTTTCCCATGCTGGGCTGGTGCATTGAATGTAAGAAGCCAAATCTTAGAAGATGACAAAGGACCAGTAAATAATAATATCACCTAGTGTAGGTGCTGACAGAAAGCGGTGAGGCAAAAGGTGGTTCAGTATGTGTCTTTATACGTGTATGTTCAGCAAGGGAAACTCTGTGTGTATATAACTATTTTTTCCTCCCCCCATTCAGTGCTTCCTCTGAACAGAACTGCATACTCTACAGCCTTTATTATTAATTATTTTGTTGTTGTTGATAGCAATATCAGTTCATTGAAGGGTTCTGTTTTGCTGTGATGACAATGGTGGTGGCAGCAAGAAATCTGTTTGTCACTGGGACTGTGCTTTGACCTAAAAAGGGAAGTTCAACCATTGCTCTCATACTGAAGAGAATTTAGGAAGCTTTAGTGTAGTGGTTCCAGCCATGCTATGCGTTAGTCCTGATGCAGCGTTGTGGGGTGTCCTGGCTTCTCTTCAATTTCCTGGGTTCCCCAGTGGTTAGAGATGTGATCCTTAGTTATTGGATAAGGTAGAGAAGGTCATCTTGGTGATCAGTCAGTTCAAATTGTGGTGATGTCTTTTGATTTGTTGTCATTATTGTTGGCATTCACAATTGGCTTTTTCCAGACGCTCTGGATGTGTTTACACTTGTTGATGATCAAAAGCTTGTTTGTATAGTTTGGCTATCTATTTTTCTTGATCACACAAATGCTATTCAACGTTCATTCTGTTGCTTGGGACAAGAGGGGTTGGTCATTTTTTCACCTACTAATGGAAGAAGTCAGTTAAAGTTCATGAGCTAATGCTGACAGCTATGCTAACTAGCTTGTGTAGGCTGCTACAGATGAATGTTGTTCTAATAAGTTGGGACAAACTTGTGTGATGTAGACTGTACACACGTGTTGCATGCATCATATCTAATGTAATGGTTCTAATCTCAGGTGATTGCAGAAAAAGCTGCGGAACTTGAAAACACCAAACAAATAGAAGAAAGTGGCTCCATAAAGAGAAAAGCTTTCCTGGACATGCTGCTGAGTGCAACAGATGATGAAGGGAATAAATTGAGCTACAGGGACATTCGTGATGAAGTGGATACCTTCATGTTTGAGGTACCCAAAGAATCCATTGGTTGTTTTTTGCTTAGGGCTTTTGTGTTTGGTTTGTTTTGTTTGTTTGCTTTTTTCCCCCAGAACCTGAGATTCACCATTTGCAGGTAGTGACTCTTCCTTTTCTTAGTTCAGGAGGTTGCTTTTGGTATGAAGTTATTTTAGCCCTGGAAGACTAAAAGGAAATCTCCATAGGATAGAAACTACTGAAGGATAGAAACATTTGATCCAAAACTGTGTGCCCTGGCAAAATGTTGGGCAATACACATGACAGGCCCTGCCTATGTGATCAGGCTCTACTCATGAAAACAGGTGAGTAGTAAGAGCTTAATGGCTGATGTGGGCCATGGGCTCTCAGCTCCTGTTGCAAACCTCAGTAACGCTAAAGAGAGCTCTAATGGTTTCAGTGTTTTGCCTTGCATTTTGTCAGCTCTCCTCACATTTTGTCCCTTGCCACGTTGGCTGTAGCTTCCTGGTAATGTCATCAGCTGTGCTTTGGTGTACTGTCTTCATATGTCTGGTTCCCTGTCCAGTGAAGGATTCTAACCAAGACTTTCCCAAGTTTTTCACACATCTCCATTAGGTGGACCTGAATTCTATCTCAGAAGAGCTTAATTCAGAGTCGTATTACTGCTGTTGTAACCTAGAGAAACTCTTCCCATCTTACCATTCCTGTACTACTCCATAGCTGGATTTTGAAGAGGTGCAGCATCGACTTCACAAGTGCACCTTTTTACTACCAAAATCCTTTGTTGGTCAACATTTTCCTTTTGTGTTCCCATCTTTTTTT